TCAGGGCACGACATCGTCATGATGATCAGAACAGGTCGTAATTGACCTTAAGTGAAAGGTGTAAGCGCAGGGCCTTCTTTGAAGTGAGGGTGCAGCGATGCCCAAATGTTGTTCAGCTCCAACAATGAAAGAACTATCCATGTGAAGAACCCCTGACCCCCATAAAACCTATCCGAGGCCTCAACGTGGCATGGGGGTGGTGGCTTCGGCCAGCTAACACGGAGCGTGCCTCCTGAGGATAGAATCATTGCAAAACTTAGGAGGTTTATTCAAATCCTGCACAGAAATGATCAATGCGTGTATCCCGATCAGAGCTATGATGCCCACCGTAATGCTCCAAACAAGGACGTCCACCATAATGGACACAAGCTAAGAAGTCCTCCGTGAAGGTCACAGCGAAACCATCAGATCGCCATACTTAACATCGGCACCCTGACCGGCCGCTCTGCCGGTCAGGGTGCCGATGTTGTGCCGAGTGTTAAACAGCACATGGGAAACAGGAAAAGCTGTGGAACGAAACTATCCACCCCCCCCCTCCTACCACGCAGATCTACCCCAGCTTTCTGCTTTTCTTTCCCAGAAAAATTTCCTGCTTTTCCTCGATGACTTTGCTGTCGAGCGGGGGTGCATATAATACGCATGAAATACATGGAACAGAAAAACCACGAAAAGTTGACCGCCCTTCCTAGAAGGCGGCCAAAAAGTATACACGATCCGTCCCCACCCCTCCCAAGTACGCCCTCACCTTTACAGCGTCCGAAAGCGAGAAAGATCAAGTATCAAAAATGAACTCCTCTCCGCCCAAATACGACCCCCTCTCCTGGCTGCCAAGTACGACCCTCCCCTGTTTGGGATTCCCCAACAACGACATCCCCTGGTGACACTCGTTCTTTCTTTGGGATATGAAGCATTGCTGCGGGAAAAGGAAACGATTATCGGTGTGGGAGCATTTGAAAGGCATTCTGGACCTTCGTGATAACTCACCGGAGCAACATGTTCAACATGCGTCACTGGCGTGGAGTACATCACACCCTCAAACAAAAATCCCTTGCGGCCGAAAAATGCTGTCATTTAAGTGAAATAGAAACTACCTCCGTGACTTCGTTTGTCGTCACGCTTCCGTTCCCTTCATATCTGTTGATCTGTTCATCAACCGGCATCTGAAAAATGGAGCCATAAGTCAAATAAACAATATCTACACCAACACGTCAACTTGATGCAGGAGAGCACTCATGAATACAAAAGGTGCGACAGAGCTTCAAAATGTCTGGAAAAATATAGCTGTTCTGTTTTATGTCGAACCACGGACTCTATAGTAGCGGAATCAGGGCACGACATCGTCATGATGATCAGAACAGGTCGTAATTGACCTTAAGTGAAAGGTTGTAAGCGCAGGGCCTTCTTTGAAGTGAGGGTGCAGCGATGCCCAAATGTTGTTCAGCTCCAACAATGAAAGAACTATCCATGTGAAGAGCCCCTGACCCCCATAAAACCTATCCGAGGCCTCAACGTGGCATGGGGGTGGTGGCTTCGGCCAGCTAACACGGAGCGTGCCTCCTGAGGATAGAATCATTGCAAAACTTAGGAGGTTTATTCAAATCCTGCACAGAAATGATCAATGCGTGTATCCCGATCAGAGCTATGATGCCCACCGTAATGCTCCAAACAAGGACGTCCACCATAATGCGACACAAGCTAAGAAGTCCTCCGTGAAGGTCACAGCGAAACCATCAGATCGCCCATACTTAACATCGGCACCCTGACCGGCCGCTCTGGCGGTCAGGGTGCCGATGTTGTGCGCAGTGTTAAACAGACATTGGGAAACAGGAAAAGCTGTGGAACGAAACTATCCACCCCCCCCCCTACCACGCAGATCTACCCAGCTTTCTGCTTTTCTTTTCCAGAAAAAGTTCCTGCTATTTCCTCGATGACTTTGCTGTCGAGCGGGGGTGCATATAATACGCATGAAAATACATGGAACAGAAAAACCACGAAAGTTGACCGCCCTTCCTAGAAGACGGCCAAAAAAGTATACACGATCCGTCCCACCCCTCCCAAGTACGCCCTCACCTTTACAGCGTCCGAAAGCGAGAAAGATCAAGTATCAAAAATGAACTCCTCTCGCCCCAAATACGACCCCCTCTCCTGGCTGCCAAGTACGACCCTCCCCGTGTTGGGATTCCCCAACAACGACACCCCTGGTGACACTCGTTCTTTCTTGGGATATGAAGCATTGCTGCGGGAAAAGGAAACGATTATCGGTGTGGTGAGGCATTTGAAAGGCATTCTGGACCTTCGTGATAACTCACCGGAGCAACATGTTCAACATGCGTCACTGCGGTGGAGTACATCACACCCTCAAACAAAAATCCCTTGCGGCCGAAAAATGCTGTCATTTAAGTGAAAATAGAAACTACCTCGCTGACTTCGTTTGTCGTCACGCTTCCGTTCCTTCATATCTGTTGATCTGTTCATCAACCGGCATCTGAAAAATGGAGCCATAAGTCAAATAAAACAATATCTACACCACACGTCAACTTGATGCAGGAGAGCACTCATGAATACAAAAGGTAGACGACAGAGCTTCAAAATGTCTGGAAAATATAGCTGTTCTGTTTTATGTCGAACCACGGACTCTATAGTAGCGGAATCAGGGCACGACATCGTCATGATGATCAGAACAGGTCGTAATTGACCTTAAGTGAAAGGTTGTAAGCGCAGGGCCTTCTTTGAAGTGAGGGTGCAGCGATGCCCAAATGTTGTTCAGCTCCAACAATGAAAGAACTATCCATGTGAAGAACCCCTGACCCCCATAAAACCTATCCGAGGCCTCAACGTGGCATGGGGGTGGTGGCTTCGGCCAGCTAACACGGAGCGTGCCTCCTGAGGATAGAATCATTGCAAAACTTAGGAGGTTTATTCAAATCCTGCACAGAAATGATCAATGCGTGTATCCCGATCAGAGCTATGATGCCCACCGTAATGCTCCAAACAAGGACGTCCACCATAATGGACAAAAGCTAAGAAGTCCTCCGTGAAGGACAAAGCGAAACCATCAGGATCGCCATACTTAACATCGGCACCCTGACCGGCCGCTCTGCCGAACTGACGGACAAGCTGACGGAAGGGAACATCGACATCTGCGCTCTCCGAGAAGAAACGAGATGGGTTGGCGCTAAGACGAGAAGTACCGGAAGATTCAACTCCTACAATAAAGTAGAGCGATTCAAACTCAGCGGTAGCGCCATTGCAGTGTTACAGAGACTAGAGCATGTAGTTCAAGATGTACAACGGGTTCCCGACCGCATCATGAGAATTACTGTGATTTCAGGCAAAAGGGCCACTCATATTATGTGCATCTACGCTCCGCAAGGATATTTGCTCACTGCCGACAAGGATACGTTCTGGGAGCAGCTTGCCGACGAAGCATCCGCGCTTCCATTTGTTGCAGCTGAACATCGTGGGTGATTTCGGTGGACATATAGGAGCAAGCAACTACCAGTTCGAAGACACCCAAGGACGATTCCCCTACGGCCAAGGAATGATGATGGCATGCGCATATGGGAGTTCGCCGAGTCACTAGATCTGATCATAATAATTTCCTTCTTCCGGAGGAGAAAAACCCGCTTACTGATGTGCTATAGTGGGAGACGTAAGACCCAGATCAAGTACACCTTGACACGGAGGAGCCAACGAAGCAACGTGCTAGACTGCAAGGCAATCAACAGTTAACATATTACAGCCATTGCGACCATTAAGGTGCCGTCCTGTTGAGTATGGAATTAATAACGTGAAGTTGTTCATTGTTTTTGTATTGCCCTTCACAGGCTATTCAGTGCGGAGCAGCGGCTTTGCGGCAAGATTTCCTTTTGAGTCAAGCGCACGCGGACTAGTGGTATCCAATACATCGATCTGCAATACATCGATCTCATAGGACGCCCCTTCTAGAAATTTCAGCGCCCACTATATAAGCCTTTTGGATCAATTCGTAGTAGTTGCTTATCGCACACAGTTTCTATCTTTCAAGTTATTGTGTTATTCTGTGCTTAGCCTATGATAAAAACTTATTTTTGTCGGTGTCCGCTTCTGTTGAATTCGGTCAATCTTATTCGTTACCTATTATCGAACTCTAACTGGCCAACTCATCTCCCTTCGAACAGCCGCGAATCATCAGAAGGCTTTCGAGGTGGAACACGATTGCTACCCTTGGACCAGCTGTCAAGGACCACTTATCGATGAAGATCCGTGTTAGATCCTTGGGAATCAATGGAAAAGATTTGTCGGTGGAATCCGATATGCTGCAGTGCCCAATGAGGTTCCGCGAAGCCAAGTGAGTAACCAAACGGACAATTGCGAGTGCCATTGAGAGCAAGGCAGAACCTCTTCTCGCCGACCTATATACCAAAGGAGCGAGAAGCAGATCTACTCAGGGCATCCTGCTTCATGCTGCATTGGCTTCGCTCAGCCTGGTTGCTTGTCGCTCCATTCTTCTCTGCGGGAGATGAATACCCGAGATGTATAGATAAATAAAAAAATAAATAAATAAACAGTATAAAAATATGCAGTAATTCCAATGTGTTGAGAATCAAGCGTGCTTATTGAAAATGCTGCGCAATTCATTTAAGCATAACGTAGAATGCTTCGTCCCGTTGGATGTTTCATTGATAATCAAATGTTCCCTGACCACAGAAAATTTACAATAGTCAACACTGCAATAATGAACAAGAATCGCAGTCGCAGACACGTTCAAGCGATGTATGCAGTCCCCTCGCTCTTGCTTTAGGATATGAAGCACTGCTGCGGAAAAAGGTGATTAATTGTGTAGGGACATTCGGAGCTGCATTCTGGGCCTTTGTGAGAACTCACCGGAGCAACAGGTTCAACGGCTGTGACGGTCATGGAACACACAACATCCTTAATGAAAAATTCGATGAAACCCTCCTTGCGGAAAATACTGATAATAATACTCAGAAGACCAAATAATACAGGTAATAGGAAGTACCTCCACAGCCTTGTTAATCGAACTTGAACGTGTGGCTCTCCCATCTCTTCTTCTGTCTTCATCTACCTGCTCCTGTAAAATTGATGAAGAACTAAGTTGAATAAACAATATCTACACCAACACTTCAACATGATGCAGGAAAGCGCTCGAGAATTCGAAAGGTGCGACAGAGCGCTTCAGAATGTCAGGAAAAATATAGTGGCTCTGTCGTCAGGGCCGAACTATGAACTCCTTGTAGCAGAAGCAGGGCACGCCATCGTTATGATGAGCACGACGGGGGGTCGCTTTTGACCCTAAATGAAGAGGGGCTGTAAGCTTAGGGTCCTTTGTGAAGAGACGGTGCAGCGATATCCAGATTTCGTTCAGCTCCAATTATGAAAGAATTATCTACGTGAAGAACCCCTGAAGAGATACAAACAAGATGCAACCTGCCAGCACATAAGTGGCTATGATAAGGACTACGATGACCGCACACAATGACGTCATGAATTCATAAACAAACCAAAGAACTCGCAACGTGACTTGTGACGAAAAGATGTGTGTACATTTCGGACCAATCTCGTAGCAGGAGCACATCCGCTTACACGGAGCCCTATCTAGAGGTTGTACCTTTCCAATACCTCTGGGTGAGAGCCCTATGCATGGCGCATTACAGAGGTGGTGCCAACCCAATGGTCTATTCGCTGATATCCTCGGCGAAAACATGTGGTTTAGGAGCATGCTAAGGCCTTTAAGCGAACTGAAAGTGCTATTGCGTCAGATGGGCGGGTTTATGCGGTTCGAAAAAGGGTTGCGTTGTGATCACAACGGGGATTCTTTCGAATCGCACGCCTAGGGAGAAATTGGAATTCTTCTGGATAGAAGAAAGATTTGAGATTCCGGCACTGTTTTTCCCAATGGCCCTGGATGAAGCTTGCTATGGCTGTTCAAAACATAAGGATTTGAAATCATTCCAATGAATGACGGGATCGCAACGGAGAAAATTTCTTGAAAAAAGAATTTTTTATTTGAAAATGCCCATACTTAGCAGGTGCCGACCTGATGACACACAGTCCTGCACCCCTGTAACAGACTCCAACCTCGTGACCCACACTCCTGCTTTCCCCTCTACAAAAGCTTTTATCTCAAAGAAGTTAGCGGTGTCAAAGTGAGGGGTACTTTGTGGGGTTCGTCGTGAAACTGGTCTGGGTTGTGAAACAGCTCGCTCCAATACCACACCACAAAGCGCGCTCACCCTTGAATGGCCGTGAGCAATAAACATATGGGCGTTGTCATCCGCATTTTCCCGCATCTGCTTTCTCTCGAGTCTTTTGATGCTCATTTGTAATTTATTACTTTTCCTCATTTATTGTGATTCATGATTGCTCATTTCCATCGTGTTTCTCATATTTATCCTAAGTTAATGTCGCCTCATTTTTTGACATTTATTTTTGCAGTCCTTTCGGTACTTGTTTGTTTGCTGCTGATCTGTCCGCTGCTACCGAATTAGCAGCGGACAAGGGGAGAGGGATCCTATTGAGACTCTTTTCATACAGTGGGGGTCGCATACAGCAGGATTTGCTTACAACGCGATGGCGTCCCCTAAGCAGCTGGAAGTGACAGAAGGTTGGCATTGTCACGGAACACAGTGAAAGAATCAGCATGGGAATGCGGTAATAATGAATAATAACCGCTCTTCCGTGAGAAGTGTAACAATAATAGGACATGCGTAAGCTTTCTAGTATCCGCTCTTTCCCTTGACTTCAATAGAGCTCTTATTGAAATCGTAGCTACTCATACAGGCACGTCGCAAGAGAATCATGTAATTGTCTATTGTTCACTCTAGAGCAACAATGCCAAAGTAAGACTGCGTTCATACTCTGCGGCAGCGAACGCCGGTGTACGCTAGCGTTTGCAGCGTACGGCAGCAGCAGTTACGGAAGAAGTAAAGATATTAATTTAACGTTTGCAAGCGTCACCAGCGCGCGCTATATCGCGAGGGCAGGGAAAGAGTGGGTATCGATCTAGAGTTGCACTAGCGTTTGCAGCGTTTCTTCAGCGCTTCATTGGCGCTTGGAGCAGAGAGGGGAATTGAAGACTATGGGAGAGCAGAGGGTGGTGAGCAGTTTGATTAGGCGTGCTGTGAAATTGCAACGCGTGTAGCCGCACCGCACTACGAGACAATACCGTACACTAAATCGGTTGAATTGCACAAATATGTGGTTTAGCTGTTGGATTGAATCGCAGCCTTACCTATCCAGCTTTCGCCGAGTTTCCACATAAGCCTCGTGTTTCCCCAGAAGAATTGGGGCTGAATGGAAATAGGGGGAGGACGTCGTCAAACAATTACTAATTACGATACAGTGATGGTGGTGCAAACATAAAACATACATGAAATGGGGAAAAGCGCGAAAAAGCTACAATGGGAAAGAATCATGTTGCGGCTCGGAGAAGTTTCTGTCAAGACAAAGTAAGAGATCCTTACAGCGTTGCAGCAACTTCCAGTGAGCCCCAGTAGCGTGTCACGGGGCAGTGGAGGCAGTCGAGCTGATCTGTGAGCCGCGTGTGCACAGGGAGAGGGATTCCAGTGTTTCACGGACGATACTATAGACACTTACCCTCTCGTACCCATCAATTCCTCCATTTCTCATGTTCTGCATGCACAAATTCCGTTTCTTTCTGAAATCAGACCAGCAGCTGACCGGATATTGAAGCAATGACGGAGCACTTGAGTATTTTTGCATTTCTTGTTGAAGGCAGCGCCCGCAATCTTTAAATGTTCCTACGCTCTCCCTACATGTCGTAGCTGGTCGACAACGATGGAGGATACACTGATTTCTCAATAGATTCAAGAGCTCAATTTCGACGTTGCGCAGAAGCTGCCACTAGACGCTATTTTGAGTTCTAGAGGTCCACTTACAAGGGAAGGATGGTAGGTCGCAGTGGTCATTCGAGGTGAAGCCATCACCGGCTGAAAGGTCTTTCGACGAGGATTACAAAACCGTCTTCCGTATCTGTTGCGGACCTCCCAGAATGGAATTACGGAGCTCTTTAGAGGGAAAATATCTGCTTCAATACGAATGGGTGACGTAAGGCAGATGCTATCGTGGCAGCATAATTGAGTGGATACGCTGTAGGGCCCAGAAATGCGTGGGCGAGGTTTGGATCCATCATTGCTTCTTCCTTCCTTCCTTCCTTCCTTCCTTCCTTCCTTCCTTCCTTCCTTCCCTCCTTCCTTCCTTCCTTCTTTCCTTCTCTTCCTTCTTTCCTTTTCCGTATCCTCTTCTCCTTTCCTGTCCTTCTTCTTCCTTCGTTCATTTTTCCTTCTTTTTTCTTCTTCCTTCCTTCCTTTCCTTCCTTCCTTCCTTCCTTCCTTCCTTCCTTCCTTCCTTCTCTCTCTTCCCTTCGCTTCTTCTTCTTTTTCGCTTCTCCTTCCTTCCTTCCTTCCTTCGGCTTCTTTTCTTCTTCCGTTCGATTCTTACGCGTTTCCTTCCTTCCTTCCTTTCCTTCTTCCTCTATCCTTCCTTCTTCTTCTTCCTCCTTACCTTTTCCTTTTCTTCCTTCCTTCCTTGCTTCTTTTCCTTCCTCCTTCTTCCTTCCTTCCTTCCTTACCCTGTCTTCCTTCCTTCCTTCCTTCCTTCTTCATTACTTCCTGGGTCTTCCTCCTTTCCTTCTTTCCTTCCTTCCTATCTCCTTGTCCCTTACTATCCTTCCTTCCTTCCTTCTTCCTTCCTTCTTCTTCCTATGCCTGCCTTCCTTCCTTCCTTCTTCTCCTTCTATCCTTCCTGTCTTCCTTCTTCCTTCTTTCCTTCTTCCTTCCTTCCTTCGGTTCCTTCCTTCTCCTTCTTCTTTCTTCTTCTTCCTTCTTTTCTTCCTTCCTTCCTTCCCTATCCTTTTCTTTCTTCTATCTTTTCGGTCGATCCGTCTTCCTTCCTTCTTATCTTCTTCTTCCTGTTCCTTCTTACTTCTTCCTTCTTCCTGTCCTTCTGTTCTTCCTTCATTCTTCTTCCTCCTTCTTCCTTCCTATCTTCTTCCTTCTTCCTATCCTTCCTCCTCTCTTCTTTCCTTTTTTCCTTATTCCTTCTTCTTCTTCCTTCCTTCCTTCCTTCCTTTCCTTCTTCCTTCCTTCCTTCATTCTTCTTACTTCCTTCTATCCTGTCTCCTTCGTTCCTTCCGTTCTTCCTTCCTTCTTCTTCCTTCCTTACTTCTCCTTCTTCCCTTCCTTCCTTCCTTCCTTCCTTCTTCTTCGCTTCTTCCTTCCTTTCCTATCCTCTTCCTTCCTTCCTTCTTTCGCTTCTTCTTCCTTATTCCTGTCCTTCCTTCCTTCTTCCTTCCTTCCTTCCTTCTTCCTTTCTGTCCTTCGCTTCTTCTTCGTCCCTTCCGTTCCGTTTCTTCTTCCTCCTATCCTTCACTTCCTTCTTCCCTTCCTTCTTCTTCTTCCTTCCTTCCTTACCTTCCTTCCTTCTCTCTATCTTCGCTTTCTTCCTTCTTCCTTCCTCTTTCTTCCTTTCCTTCCTTCTTCTCCCTTACTTCCTTCCTTCCTTTCCTAATCTTTTCCTTCCCTCTTCCTTCCTTCTTCTTCTTCTTCTTCCTTCCTTCCTCTTCCTTCTATCCTTCTTCATTCCCTTCTCTTCCTTTCCTTCCCTTCCTTTCTTCCTTGCTTCCTTCCTATCCTTCTTCTTACTTCCTTCCTTCCTTTTCCTTCCCTTCCTTCCTTCCTTCCTTCGTTCTTCCTTCCTTCCTTCCTTCCTTCGTGCTCTTTTGCACTTTTTCGAAAGTGGTCCTCGTGCCCTCCGAAGCGATTTCGCATAAAACTAGTGCTTACTAATGTAGTGGAGTAATTTTTCTCGAGTAATGGAGCCAATGCGAATGATTCCCTGGGAAACATTTTCTGGCTTTCGACATCTTCGTTTTCAATTTGAAAAGCGTGCACAGCAGAAGTGCATCACAGCGAATAATTTTGCCCTGGACAATGACTTCAATCTCCAAGTGACATAGCTGGGAAGCGAAACCGAAGCCGCACGCAGTTGTGCACGAGGATTAGTACAGTGGGGAAAATGTTTTTACATGAAAAGGCGTTGATGTGGCAATCAGGTTGGAGATCAGTGAGGGGCAAAACCTTCATTCATCACTCACATCTCGTTCAGAGATGTGTATGTCAAAGTGATTCCGCTACTGCTGGTAGTTTTCGGCTCGTATGACATCTCTTCAGCCACAGGTGATCTCCACAAAATTGTTCGGAGTGGCTCCATTTTTTCAGAAACATCACTTGACGACATTAGCAGGCGCAAGAGTTATGCAAAGTCGCATTGGAGTGTACAGAGCCCAAGTTCGAATAAATGCAAAAGAGCAAATCATAAAGGATCCAAACCCTCGACCACGCACTTGTGAACCCTACGACTTGTTCACTCGGCTATGCTGCCACGATGGCATCAGCCTTACGCCGCAAATTCCTGCTGAATGCGAATATTCTCCTCTTACAAAAGCTCCGTAACTGCATTCTGGAAGGTCCGCAGGAAGTACGCGAGACGGTTTCGTAATCCCCGTCCGAAAATCTTTCAGCCGGTATACATATCATTTCAAATGGCCACTTCGACGTGCACTACTTCCCCTGTTATCCAGCTCATCCTCCTATAAATACATCAGACAATGGGAAGTTGATAGAGACCATGGAATTCCGCATTCTCACTGCATTGGATACAAACGGAGATAGGTGCGATCCCAAGTTGTGAGGCTAGACCGATCTCACCATAAGCAGCTTTAAAGTTTATGTTTCTCGACCGAGCAGTTTAAGGTTTTCAAAGTGCTTCCTTGCTCGAGCACCTCGATCAAGAAAAGCCACTGCATGCCAATGTTCGAAAACTCATATTCACCATAGCTTCCACGCTATTTTAGCTTGCTCTTCCTCAAATGTATTTTGTTTATGGTCCTTTCCCGTAAATTATTATAGACAAAAAAAACCACCACATGCTTTAGAACTGCTCAAAAAACGACTAGTAAGTCGTGCTAATGCATAAGTTAAGCGGAGTGTGTCACTAATAGAAACCCTGTAGGCGATATTGATTAGATTGTTGTACTATAGATATACATACGTTAGGTGCTAAAATGAACTTCAGCAAACGTACGAGCATATGTAGCAGATTCCATCCATTTTTCCACCTCCTGAATGCGTCACCGCAACGTCCACGCCTTCCTGAAAGCAGCTTGAGTTGCAGGAAAAGCAACATTAGACGTTGCTTTTTTCAGAAAAGGCATTTTTCTTTCCTCCTGTGGTAAATTTCTTCGCGACATATTTCGCACTAGTGATACATACTCCTTTAGTGCAAACGAAGCTATTGCATAGCTTCACAAAAGTTATCGTGTCACCTTTAAGTGCATCAACAGTGATCGTTTTTCAGCAATATGCTTCTGTTATACGAAACACGCCAATAGCTACAAGTTTCAGTATATGGGATCTCGAGGAATGTTAAGCTCAGAACCTGGAGATGCGGAACTTGTTGTGCATATTCAGATGCTGAGCTCAACCCTTCCTCGGAATTTTCCTCACGAGCGCTGCCGCCTTCTTCTTCATCTTCAGATGAGGAAAAAAGTACTAGATGGGGAAAAAGCCCCGAGCCCCGTAGAGACACAAACGAATGTAACGAGCAGTGAAAAGACCATGATCCCGTGCAATCTCGATACAAGAGATTCCACAGATTTCTGATCAACTTCCTATGACACTTTACCCGTCGCGGGAACTATCCTTGAAGCTTACAATAATAGTACACGAGAGGTCAAAGTATTCTTGAACTATGATTCCTGCAGGGCCACTTTGACTTAGTAACAGCTGCGTTGTCTCCAAGGTTGATGCTGCCCATATCATATTGTCCCACTGTTATCGGCTCTCCAGATGGAATTGTTTGATTTGACGGAAGGCAGTGCGTATGGGTGCGATACCAGGATGGGACGACTCAGTCAACTCCCTAGGGAATCCCACCACATTCCTCGTGTAGCCGCGCCTTACGTTAGCACTTTCAGTTCGCTATCTGAACTAGTTCCGCACCGCTAAGCTCATAAGTACGGAGTACGTTTTCCAAAAGCACTTAAAAAACGAGCTGCCTTCATGGGCATACAACCAACGCACTTTCGGAACAAGGCAACCACTCTTTGCCTGGTGGTTGGCAACAATTTGCCGATAGATATTGGGTTGGAAAAAAATCCTGTCAGTGTTTTAAGAACACCTTATGACTTTGATTCGTTATGCCTCGACACTTAACATTCTATTCTTATAACACACACTAAGCTTTCTCGCAAGAAATGCATAGAGATGTTCTCTCTTCCCAGGGATTAGACCGGTATCAGGCGGGAAGACACCACTACCATCAGGACTGTTCATCGCTGTTTCGCACGCGTAGCGAAAGAACTGTTTTCTGGAAGCAACCAGGTCCGCAAAGGGCTCCGCCGTTGTCGGATATGAGGAAGAGGATCCGGATTTTCGGCCATCAGAAAGTACTTGTTCGATGGAATCCACATATCTTGACTGACGGCAGCAGTGCACCCGGATACCCATATTTCAAATTCCTCTTTTCCGCACTCATCGGAGAGGGCTTTTCGGTGTGCGGTTAGTGTACATGAGAGACGAGTTCTCATTGATATTCACACAACACTGTGCGACATCTCT